AAAATCAACAAAAATCTATGAACCAGAGACACTTTTGGGGGGTGGGTGGAGGGAGGGGAGGGATTGGGGTCAAAATGGGGGGGTTGAAATTGTATGGGGAATATAAAAATAAAATTTATTATAAAAAAATACAACTCATTAAAAATATTGTCTATTTATCCCAGAATAATATATTTATTATTCCCCTTATAACCTATTCTATGAAGTTCATATGATATAAAAATCAAGTAATTGTAAATTCACTTTCTAGTCAATGGAACAGTGAAAAGATGGAGTTTTTTCCCCGTTTTGAGAATAATTAGCACCATGGGGACAAAAGGATAAGAGAGTAAGATTTTGTGTACTGGTTGCAAATGTTGGTAACAGATATAAGCAAGGTATTATAGACTAAGATGATAATGATACACAGAGCTACTTTGAAACAAAAGCCACCAGTAGATATCTCTCTCCAAGGATGCAGAGTGTAGATCTACTTGCACTCTATTACTATACAATAAATCCATTTATCAATGTTCATTACTACTTACAAAATGAAAGTAAGAATCATCATGGTTTGTTTGTACAATTAACCTGGGGGTATATACAAGAAAAAGAACTGAAAATCTCAGAGCATGTCCTTACGACCCAATTAAATATCTGTCATGGCTAAAGAGTAAAACTCAAATGTAAATATTTCCTAGATCTTTGTTAATATAGGAAAGTTTTGAAAAAAGTCATATGGGATAAAATCATTTAAAAATAAAATAATGTGAGAACATGAAAAAAAATCTTTGAGGTCAAGGTCATGAGCGCTAGAAAGTACTGGCTCAAGGGGATTTTCATCACTACTTTGGTTTGGTGGTATTATATGTGATGTTTCACTGTTGGCGCTGCACCTTCTGAGGGGTCAACGATCCCTCTGAGATCTGATTAAAGTAATGGGCTTTCTTCCATGAAAAATGACTTTCATGCAAATGTGCAGGCAAATTCAAAGGATTTGTGGATTTCACAACTGAAGCCTTTACTCCCAAATTAACAATCCCCGTGTTATGCAGATCAGCTATACTGTTTTTACTTCATTTAAAGAAATGAAATATTCAGTGTCATGATTTTGAGGATATAAGGTAGTATAACATCAGGGAAATGTAAGGAATGCCAGCTTTCTTTCCAAACCTTTCTCTCCCTAAGGATTGCAGGAGTCTCAAAACTGCATGCTCTCTGCAAATGAAATACCACACCCTCTGCGTGACTTAAAGAAAGTGACAATCCCATCTCCGAATTTAAATGCCCTTAATATTTAATTCTTTTCTCTATGTGGTTACAGCTTGCCTTCTTCACATTATCAAGATGATGGCTTTAGAAGGCAGGCTATTGGAGAGCCAGGAAACCATACATCCCAATTCAATTTCCTTGTGGAAATCAAAGAGCTCCCTCTCTTGAAGAGTGGAAAAAGGCTGAGGGGTCACTGCCTCCCCCACAGGGTGCTGGTGCAGGCAGTACTCCAGAAGGGTAATGTAAATACTCAGTATGAGGCAACAGGGCATACCAATTTGTTTTTCAATCTATTTTATTTCAGTTCAAAGCATCTTTGCAGACAGATAGTCCAAGAAAACAAGCCACACTTTGGTTATACTCAGTCTTTCTCAATCTCCAAACGCAGCTGAGTATTGCCAAAGTGCGGCTCGTTTTCCTGTGCTGCTTGTCTGCAATGATGCTTTGAACTGAAATAAAATAGATTGAAAAACAAATTGGTATGCCCTGGCTCTTCCTGCAGTTTTGTATTATCCTTCAAAGCCAGTGCTACACCTACTCTTTACTGGAACCCAACAGACCCAAATCACAGAGTAAACTGCAATACTTTAAATGTGAAGGTCCCACCCAAACCTAAAATAGCAGTTTAATTCAGGGCTTGTTGTTTAACATTGCATTAACGTGCCACTCTCTGTCCGGTTCTTTGCTCCATTTGCTGGGCTGCATTACATCTTTGATGACATGTGCAATATGGTTACTGGGTACAGTTTAAAGCCTGACATGCTGATCTTCTTATCTTCTTATACAGTTCGCTTGGTTGATTACTGCCTCTGTAATTTTTCTTGTTCATGAGCCCAAACATCCTCTTATTTTTACCTATTCAGAAAGTCTGCAACTTGCTTTAAAGCATTCCATACTCTTCTGAAAGTATGCAACATTATTTTGAAAACTTTTGGAGGAACCCCAAAATCATTTGCAAGCAAATTTTTTAATCACCACCACCGAGAAGCCTATCATTTTCTTACACTGTCTGGAGAAAATGCATATGGCTGCAAAGAAGGAACACAAATGGTTTCAAGCTTAAAACACTAAAATGATTTTTTAAATGCTCTGCATAGACAGTATGTAATTTGGTCAAAAAACTAAATCCCATTTAGAAAAGTTCCTCCCTTAACAGAAACATTAAGAAAAAAGAAGAAACCCCCACACTCAATTTTGCCTGTAACTTCTGAATTTTTGTCATTATTTAGCACTTGAAGTTTCCATCTGGGGCCACATTTGGTTATTTTCTTTCTAACTGGAATTTAACAGTATATATAACAAGATGAAAACACTGAAGCTACTGTTCCATTTTCTTTTATTTAATCCACACAGCAACCATTGAGGACATACCATTAATTACATGGGACGCTTTAGATCACTCCTCTGTAAGCTGCCAGAGACTGCAGTTCTGTCAGCAGCAAAACTGGGTTCATGGCCAGGGACTCAGCATACAGGACCGTGAACCACGGTCCATTCTCTCAGTTCAGACTTCCAACACCCCTAGTTCCTGTCACCTCACAGTCTCAACCTGCTGAAAGATTCTTCCTCCACACTCTCACCTTTTTCCCTTGCTGGCCAGATCCCCCATCACTCAACAAGTTTCAGCTTCAGCAGCCTCACTCTCCAGAGGCCTCTCCCCAGTCATCCTGGTGAAAGGTGGGCTCCCCACTCAGCACTCTTTCCTTTAGAGCAATTACCATAATCTGGAATGACTTATTTTTTTGCTCAGACACGCGGTTTTACATCCATTGTGCTAGCCTGGGTAATCATAGGGCCTAGTACAGCGGTGCCTAGTACACAGCAGACATTCAAATATTTGCTTGATGAACAGCTTGGACTTGTTTAATATTTACCAAACACCGAGTTGTGGGCCCTGGCTAGCAGCTGATACAAAAACAGGTAAGGTGTGGTCCCTGCCCTTGAGGGCCTCCCAAGTAGGTAAAAAAAAGAAACAGATGGATTATTACAGGGTAGTGAGCAGTTTAGGTTCAGATCCCAGCTCCCTTTGGCATTAGCTATGTAACCTTAGACATCTCTCCTCTCTGAGTGTCAGTTCCTCAACTTTAAAAACATGAATATTAATACTACCTATGTCATATGGTTGGTGTGATAATCCATGTAAGCACATAGTGCAGTCTGGGCACAAAGGAAATCACTCACTAATGACTAGTAATTTTATTATGACAATGCTCGGACAGCTGAAATTACCTTTGTTTACCATATCATCTGCTGAAGCCCTAGAGAATTAAAAAGTGTGGAAGATCATGGTTATCTTGTTCACCGTGATAGTCTCAGGGATTCAAATCATCCCTAACACCGTGCAGATGCTCAACAAATACTTAACAATTAATGCACTCTTGCAAGCAAGCACTTAGCAGATGCTCTGAAATCATCTGTTAAACTAGTGATGAAAGGCCAAGTTTAGGATCTACTGCCACAGAAGAAAAGACATCTTATTAGTAAGTGGCAGAAGTTTACTAAGTTAGCCAAGTGGAGAAAAACTTTGCTTTGAGGTTGTAATAAAATCTCCATAAACCATACAAAGGTTTGGATACTGTTCCAATGAAGAACCCATAGTCCCAGATTGAGAGATTTGAAAGAAAAAATTCAGAGCAGAATGACATAGGTCCCCAAGCAGGATGCAGGATGAGCTCCATTTGCCAGGCCTGTTATCTACTACACCCTGCAATAGTTCAACCTTTTAGAATCAGGGCTTCCTTCGCTTACAAAAAAGGGAATAAATATATAACCAACTTATAAAGCATCATTGGCACAAAGTGTACATGAACATGAATAAGGCACCTAGCTTTTTATAGGGGCTGGGTGAATGATACAGCTTTTCAAAGGAGGAGAACTAATTCCCACTATGAATAATAAGTCAGTAAGACCAGAAGAGGTAATGAAAGCCAGAATGTTTTGACAACTGAAAGAACTCGAGGGGCTCGGGGCAATTTTAACTTGAGTGTCCCACTCTGAGAAGGAAGGAATCTTTGAAGGAAGACAGTGATCAGTCTATTTGGATCTAGAGCAGGGACCTGCATTTTTTCTGTGAGGGGCCAGACAAAATGTTTCAGCTTTGTGGGTCAAGCAAGCAAAGTTGCGGCATCCGTCGCAACTATTTCAACTCTGGCCTGCAGCAGAGAGTAGTCATAGCCCACACGTAAACAATGAACATGGCTGTGTTGCAATAAAACTTCAATCGTGGACACAGAAATTTGATTTTTGATAACTTTCACAAGTGACAAGAGATATTCCCCTCCCCCTACCACTAAAAAAATGTAAAAACCACTGTTTTAGCTCCCTGCAGACAAAATCGAGAGGGTGGGAGGCACTATTTGGCCCACGGCCAGCTGTGGCCAACGCCGGATGTAGGGATTTGGGGAGAGAGGGGGTGCGAGGGCCAGAAGCGGCCTCCGGGAGAGGCCTCCGATCGCGCCGAGCAGCAGGCCCGGAGCAAGGAGCGGGCCCCGGGGGTGGTGGGGCGCGGGCCGGCGAGTGCCCCAGCGGGACCCGCAGCCTCTGCCCGCCGATTACCGGGAAGCCTGCGCTCGAGGTGCGGGCCGCCCCTGGGGTCCACGTCCCGGAGCGGGGGAGACGGCTAGATCTGCTAGAGCCCCGCGGCGCTGACCACGCGAAGGGTCTCTGCGCGCCCCTCGTTTGGGAGCCTCTCGGGGCTCAGCTGCAAAAGGGGTCTTCACGCTGAGTCCCAGCCCCGTTTCTATGGTTACCTGTTCAGCACCGATTCAAACTGCCGTTCTTTATTGACAGCGCCATAGAGGACACGAACACTCCTGCCCGAAGGGAACAATAAAGCTTTCTCCATTCAACAGCGCCAGAGACGCCAGGAGTCGGCCATTTTGAGGCCGGCGCGGAAAGGGTCCAAGGGGAAGGGGCGGCGCGACCTCCCTGCGCGCCACGGTCACGTGAGGGGCGGGGTCTGCGTCACGCGCGCGCCCACCAATGCGGGCCTGTCGGGGCTCGCCGGTGGCGTCCGTCTTGTCTGACCTCTGACCCTCCGACAGCGCCTCCCCTCCCCACGCGCCTGCGGGAAAGTCTAGTAAAGTGGCACCGCCCCTCGCTGGGGCCGACCTCGATTAGGGCTTTCTGTCAAGCAATGGCAGGGAAGCCGACAAGAGGTTTCTCTTCATTTTCCCGAAACGACGCGTTCTGGTGCGAGGCGGAGACGTGACCCGAGCCGCGTCCGCAGCCTCATTGGTGGAGAGGCGACGCGCCGCTCGGACGTGACAGGCCGGCCGACCCGGGCCGACCAATCATTGCGCTCTGAGGGCATTTTGGTCCCGCCTCCCCCCTCCCAATTTTAGGAATTAGGGATGCGGAGGGAACCGTGTAGCTCCCCTTCTGCTTAGTTTCCCTCGCACGCGCAGGGTCAGGCTCTGCGCCGCGTTGGGGCTCGGGCCGCCCCCACACAGCCAAACACATCAAGCCCGATCCAGACAGTATCAGACAAATTAAGTCACAGGGGCGCGGGGTCCCTGAGCCTCGCACTCTGTGTCACTGACGTGCAGCCAATTTTGCTGTCACTGCCGGTTGCCTCAGCGCAGAGCCGAGATCGCTCTGTGGTTACGGCTGCTACGTCCAGGTGTTAATATTCAGTCGTTCTGGGCACTGTCATTGTCAGACCGACTGTACTCCGTCGCCGTTTATAATCACAAATTCATTCCATGGGCACTCGCATTGTTGCTATCTATCATCCGTCTGTCATTTATTTACTGTCAGTCCGGTGCGTGACCGCTGTCAGTGACCACAATCACCAGACAATTCTGTACATTACGGTGCTTGCGCTGTGTATCTGTCACCCTTTTAGTTGTTTTCGCTGTCATTATCAGTATTTTAGCAGACCACCACAGCGTACACGGCTGTCTTTGTTACTGCCCAATTAGTCATTGTAGTTATTATACACACATGTCACGGTCACATTCAGGGTCAGATTTACTATAACTGATAGACATTTTTCTAGTCACTAGAGCCACATCTACACTATTATGTCCCATAGTCACTCATTTCCACCATCCCCGAATTCCCATTTACTGACAGACCCCAAACAGGGTAACTAAACTTGGCAAACAATCAAATATCTAGAATGATGCTTGGTATATAGTTGGTGCTCAGTAAATATTGAATTAATTTTTTAAAGCATTATTGCTAAAATGCTGTAGGTGAATGTGGATAACTGGAGGTTTATCAGTCTCAAACAACAGGAATAAATTTATAGGTTCAGTCTGTCCTGTTCCACTTAAGAAGACTCTGCATCCTATAGACACCAGAAATGTGGCTATCATGTAGATTGAATTCCTGGGACCATGGTTATAAAGAATAGGGTGGTTTGCATGAGTTCGATCCCTGGTCAGGGGGGACAGCAGATCTCTCCAGTCTTGCCTGCTGCTCCCTTTAGCAGTGTATTTCAGTAGATCCACCTGTTCTGCTCCCCATTCTGTCTCTGATGAATTGTCTTAACCCCCCAAAAAAAAATTAAAAATAAAACTATAGGATGGATTCTTTCCTTCTGAAGGATTGTTTTGGAGTAACAAAGAATGTCATGCCCCAGTATATCCCCACACACTCACAGAATCAGTGGGTCAGTGGCTAGTTTCCTCATAATTGCTTGAGGTTTTGCATTCTTATAAATTCCTATGGGCTGACTTGCCTTAGAGTTCATGAAGAACAACACAGAGACAAGAGAACAGTGACTGGCTGGCCATCATATGGAAGAATAAGAAGACAATGGCTAAACCCTCTAAGGACCTCAAGCCCCAGAGAAGTTCAAGGGTTTTGGAGAAATAACTTGTGCTTCCCAGTCAACAGAAGTACCCAATCCTTGACCTTGAAGGGAAATGACCCTGAGGACTTTCCAAACTTTTTTCCACCTTAACAGAGAATGCTTCCAGATGGATGACTGTGGTGACTCCAGCTGTTTCTGGAGTGACTACCATATGCCAAGAACACTGAGCTGAATAAAACAAGCCCTCCCCCTTTCTGCTATAACTGCAACCATCTTGTCCTTAGTCTCGTCCAGGTCCCATGTGAGCCCCTAAATTATCTCATTTAATTCTCAAAACTACCCAGTATAGTAGGTAACTTTCCCTCTTTTATACAGGAAAAAAAAAACAGACCCAAAGGAGGTAAATATTAGGCTCAGGTTCACACTGCTAGTAAGCAGAGGAGTTGAGCGTTCAACTTGGGAAGCCTCCCTCCAGACCTTTTACACTTTCTCCCTAGAATACAACATGTAGTTTTTACAAAATATGTATGTCCAAGGATTACAGAAAAATACCAAGAAGAGAGTTAATAACAGAATCACCATAAATCCCACCACTTAGCAGTAATATATTATTATAGATGAGCATTTCTCTGTCTCTTGGCATATATATATGTAGGTAAGTAAATGGAGGAATAATAATAATCACAGTTTTCCTCCAGAAGGCACTATATGCTGGACCCTGTTCCAAGTGCTTTCTATGAATTAACATATTTAATTTACTTAGAAAGAGCTAGAGACATAATTTTATTAAAATGAGCTCATTTAACATATTCAGGGTTCCTATCAGCAGCTAACCACCTGGTGATGTTTTTCCCAAAGTCTGGTTCTTTCCTCATTCTTTGCTGTCTTCTCTCCGCCTTCCAATCAAATCCTAAGCCCAGATTTGTTGGGTTGCAAAAGCTGAGTCTTTAAATAGCAAACTCTGTGCAGCTGCTGGCCGGTCAAATGTCTGCGCTGTTCCCCCAGGCAGTGGTGTTATTTGTAGAAGTGAAATTGCTAGGAGCTCGACATATGCCTTTTATTTGTTAGTGTAGGTATCCGGGCCTTGGTGTTCTTTGTCCTGGCTTTCTAAGTGTTAGAATTTCACTAGCCTTTTCTCCAGTCCAAATGAAGCTGGTCTTCAGATCTTGCCCAGTGGAGACCAGAAAGTCTCAGATGAGGAAACTGTTGGAATTTGCCTAGTGACTCAGAAAGGTCAGCTGCCTGCTCATCCATCTGGGGTGACAAAGGATAGGGAGGAGGGAGCTGGCCCTGCTCCAAGAGGGCTGCCCAGCTAATGGGCATCTGGAGCACTTCTGTGGGTCTGGGCCTTCCCATATCTTCTGCGGTGAATGAATCCTTTGTCTCTGTTTCCCCCGAGACAAAAAGCATGCTCACACCTAGGATGGAATAAACTTCTCCACAGAGATGGAGAATCCATAGAAGCTATGATTTGCCAGCCAAGCCTACTTCTCTCCCCCACTCTCTGGCTCAGAGAAGACAGCCCACCCACCCTTCCCTGTCTGGTTGCTCAGGTCAGACACCTGGGAATTGTCCTTGACACCCTGCCTTCCCTCAACCCGTCACCACATCTTGCTGATTTTACCTCTCCATGCCTGAGATCCAAGTCCAAATGACCTTTCCCCGTCACCTAATATCCCCCTCCTACCTCCTCTTTGGATATCATTTACTTTTTTCTGGTAGTGTAGTATTTCATTTCTTTCAGAGTCAATTTGATAGGAGAATGTACTCATTTAAAGTGTTCTGAGAAATACAGACACCTATCACCATATCAAGATATAAAACTTCATATTTAGGGCAGTTTTAGGTTCCCAGAAAACTAAGAAGACGATCCATGGATTCCTCCTGCCTGTACTTTGGCTCAACACCCCCTGCCATCATCATCCCCAGCCAGAATGGTACATGTGTTACAAGGATGTATACACAGATCATTGTCGCTAGAAGTCCATCGCTTACATTAAGGTTCTCTCTGATTTGTGCATTCTGTGGGGTTCAGTCAAATGTATAGCATTAACCATTTAGTGTCATGGAGAGCAGTTTCACTGCCCCCAAAATCCTCTATGCTCTGTCTGTTCAAGCCTCCCCTTTCCCCAATCCCTGATAACCACTGACCTTTGACTGTCTCCACAGTTTTACCTTTTCCAGAAGGTCATATTGTTAGGAGGAAAGGATGTCCTGAGCAAACTCCATACAGGTTTTGTGGACTCCACCCCCACTCCATCAAGACACTGGGAACTACAAATCCCATGGCCACCGAAGGGAAGGTTGGGAGGAACTGAGGGCGGAGTTAAGCAACTAGGTTCTCGGTTTGAGTATTTAATCGGCCATGTGGCCATGGGTGGCCCTCTTGGCCACATGGCATGCTCCGTTTTTCGCCAGCTCTGTGGATCACTGGGATTCCACGTCAGCAGAGCGGGTAGGATGCATTTACAAACGTATTCCCTCTTTTTCTCCCTGAGTTATTCATTTCCCTATTTCCCCTTCCCTGTAAATAAACTTTTATCAACATTTTGTGTGTGTCTGCAGTTTAGCATTAATAAGGCCCCTTTAAACATGTGGGTGAGGACCCACAGTCAGGCAACCTGTTTTATATCAGGGTTGCTCTGTAACAATATAGTTGGAGAAATACAGTACGTAGGAAAATGTATTTGCCATGATTAATTTCCCTAATACCTGAAGAACTGCTAGAAATTCATAAGCAAATACCAAATGTCTTCTAAAATCACAGAAAAATGGGCAAAGACACAGAGTAAATCACACATATAACCTCACACACACACACATGCAAAGACATAAAGATGGCCTATAAATATGGGGAAAATTCTGGAAGTTTGACAATGTGCTGGCAAACAGGCACTCTCAAACTCTGCTGGTTGGAATATAAACTGGTATAATCCCTATGTAGATTAACAATATTATCCCTTTGACCCAACAATTCTTTTCGGGGTTTTTTTTTTTTGTGGGACCCTCGCCAGCGGAACGAACTGGCGCTGCAGAGGCTGGGGGCAGCCTTGCAGCCCAGCACTCAACCACTGCGCCACCAGCGGAGGCCCTCTCTTCCGGGTATTTTATTTTATTTATTTATTTATTTATTTATTTATTTATTTATTTATTTTTAATTTT